TATTATTTCATGATTTTTTTTCTTTTTAAAAATATACTTTTAATATATGAAATACACTACAAATGCATATTCAAGTAGACTTGAATATTTCCTTTTTTACTATAGTCTGTATGTTCTGTTTTCAGAAAGAGAGAAGGCTACTTGAGAACCGACGCCTTGACCTGGACATTTGCAAAGCTCGGCTCAAGAAGGCAAAGTTAGCAGAGGCCAAGGCTGCTGTAAGTTTCATTTTCACTTATTTCATCACCATCATCACATGTCTTCCTCCTCTCACGTTCTTTCATCTCCTCCACCACCCTCTCATCACACACAGCTTATGAGCTGTTAAAGGAGGATTCGGATCTCTAGAGGGACATTTCAGGAAGTATGACCTAAAGCAAGAATATTCAATGTCTAGCCCCACAGCTTGAATCCACACCACAAGGTTATAAGTGACTCACAATCGCAATTCTGTTTCTGTGGCTTGTGATGCACGCACAAACTGTGGGACATGGCAAATAAAACACTGAAAGGTTTAAAACAGATAGTTAATCACAAAATGGACTGAATCCTAATAATTGGTTAAGAAATTGGAAGTATTTCTGAATGTTGCATTGGTGTGTAAATAAGACTTGCATGTTTAAATTCACCTGGACTAAGTCATTCTGGACAATGAAAAGGATCTTTAAAAAAACAAACGGACAAACTCTTAACTGATTTGGTGCATGAGGTGACAATATATGAAGTTCATGTAAGATATCACTGTTATTGGTTAAAGCCAAACAATTATCCGAAACACTTTTTTTAGGTCTCATTTGTTAACATTAGTTAATGCGTTATCCAACATGAACTAACAATGAGTAACATATTTGTACAGCATGTATTGATCTGTAATCTTAATAAAACCGAAATTGTTCATTGTTTGATCATGTTAGTGAGTAGTGGATCAATCTAATCTAATCTAATATAATATAATGTAATAATTCATAGTAATTGAAACTGAACTAACAGCTGTTTACAAATAAACCTATTGTATAGTGTTACCCAGTTACTGTATCATTGCCAAATCATTTTATTCACTGGCCCTTTGTCACTCCATATTTTCCAAAAGTGGCCCTGCCCCAAAAACTGATGCTCCTGATTTATTCTGTTTACATCATTGAAAAAAAAGGTTGTTTTTCAGGAACTATTTGTTATGTGGAAGATATTTGTGAATCAGTTCTGAGTTCTGTCTGGGAAGCTCTGAGTCAGAAGGCATAAGTTAACATCTTTCACCGAATGACTTCTCCTTTTACTTACTTGTTTGCTTCTTCATTTTATCCCTTTCAGTGACTGAATAATTTGAGGTTTACACAGAGGGCTGTGTGCGATTTTATCATGTTTTGATATCTTCCTTTCCTGCATAGATGAGATTGTTTGCTAATACATCCATTTAGGTGTGATTTCCCTCCTGACACATATCAAGTATTGAAGGGGTAATCAAAAGTCCTCAGAGCCTATTGTTACGTCTTTGACCTCCAAGAGGAACCTGGTAGTTTATTTGTGTGTGTCTCTGTGTGTGTGTTCAATGGAATACAATTATGACTCAGTCATCAGGTGTGCTCTGTGATTTGTGTGATCTGTGTGGAATTTTTTCCTTTCCGTGTATTCACTAACATGTCTCTCTGTTGTCATTTGCACAGTGTGAGGGAGATGTGAGTATCCGTGTGTGTGTGTGTGTGTGTGTGTGTGTGTGTGTGTGTGTGATTTCTCAGCTGCCTTTCATGCTTGGCTGCTTCCTGCTAGCAGTTACATGTACAGGCTTGATAGTTGATCTACTGTATGTATCTGCCACCGCTGCAGTGCCTTGATCAAAAAAAAATAAAAAACTTTCAAAAGTCAGTCCTTTTTGAAGTCACAGTTACATTAAATGGCTGCATGTAATTTGTATTTTTTTTTCTCATAATGTACTGTATATTATAGAGCAGCATTTCCCAACTGGATTTCCGCAAAACCCGTGATGGTAGTGGAGGGGTTTTGCGAAATACGAATGATAGAAAAGTTAAAAAAGAGGGAAAAAAGCCTAAGCTATTTTAAGCCAAATATAAAAAAGCTTAATTGAATTGAATTATAGTGTGTATGGTTTTAGTGTGTATAATATAATGTACACACAAACACACACACACACATATTTTGGATTGTATGCATGTGTATATTAATGACTCATTTTATGTATCTCCGTTATCTGTTATATTAGAATCTTGTCTACTTTGGTTAATTTCAACAGCATTTAATATTTACAAGAATATGGCACATGGAGACCAAAAACGTTCAAAGAAAAAACTGCTCTTGTTCTATGTCATACAGTACAACTGTACTAAGATAAAACCTTACTGTTTATTATACTCCTGCAAAACAGTGACAAATTACAATTAAAGGGGTCATATGATGTTGCTAAAAAGAACATTATTTTGTGTATTTGGTGTAATGAAATGTGTTTATGCGGTTTAAGGTTCAAAAAACACAATATTTTCCATATACTTTACATTATTGTTTCTCCTTTATGCCCCGCCTTTCTGAAACGCGTAGATTTTTACAAAGCTCATCGGTCTGAAAAGCGAGGTGGGCTCTGATTGGCCAGTGATCCAGTGGTTGGCCGGATCCAGTGATTGGCCGGATACCTCAAACGTGTGACGGAAATGTTACGCCCCTTACCATATGATGCTGTGTGATGATGCGTGACGAGACAAAACCAATAAAACCCATTATAAACGAGGCATTTGTTGCATCAAGTGGGGACATAATTACTGATTATAATGACTTATACTGTAAGGAAAACTTGAAATTGCATCATATGACCCCTTTAAATTGTTGCTTTTTATGGTAAGTAATGTGTACCTTAATTTAACCCTTAAGCACTAAAACAAGACTATTTGTAAAAACTACTGAAAAATGACTAAGTAAGAGTAAGAACATATCAATAAATGATCATGATTTTTATTCTATTTTTTATATTTTACTTTCTTTTATCATTTTGTTATTATTGGTATTTGGTTTGGAGTGCAATGAAGCGATACAAAAAAATCTGCAGCTGCCATCCTAATTTGTCTGTTTGTGTGTGGGAGAGGTTACAGGCTGGTTTGTCAAGTGTTTTTGTTTTCTGTTTTTATATGCAAATATGAAAATAGTGTTGTCTGCTGGGTCAGTTCATGTGGACACAATTCTTTGTAAAACTCTGTTTCCCCCCTCCACCTGTAGGCTGCGCCTGACTTTCAGGAGACTAGGCCACGCAATTATGTTCTGTCGGCCAGTGCATCTGCGGTAAGAAGGCTGCAGACCCTTAGCATTAGAAGTCTTCCCCCACACACTCTCTTTTTCTTTCTCTTTCTTTCTACATGGCCTTGATTTGTACATACACTATTTCCCCACCAATATCTGCACCAAAATTTAGATCAGCAGGATGCCCTCCGACAGTCCTTTCTCTATGGGAGTGGTAAAGCAGTATACTGTTATCGTGGATAAAAATCATCAGATAAAGCACTTTGGATATACAGTAGCATCATCCTCTTCCCTTTTCCATTACTTGGAATTTGAAGTGGTTGAAAATTGCAGGTGATAGTGAGAAAAGGGCCTCACTGAAACTTTTCCATCGTCCCATCGTCTTTGTTTTGTTTATTCCACGCAGTGGGATAGTGAAGTTGGTGATTCATCTCTGATTGACAGAACTTGAATCTGAAGTGAAGCATTATATAAACCCCTCATAGAGTAGTGTACTTACAGACAAGCAGCATTTATTGTGTGTGTCTTGTCAGCACAGCTCAGTGATGGACATTAGCATTTCCTTTCTTGTTGACCCATTGTTTAAAACTAGTCCTGCTTTCCATTCTGTCAATGTTGTGAGTTTACCACAGTAACACTTTCTTTCTTGCAGTGTTGTGTGCCTGTGTGCCTTTCCCTGTGTGTTTGATTAATGTTTTGGCGAAAGCTGATGCAGTACTTCTATATAGTCGATTAGTCCCAGTAGTACATAATGGTGGTTTGTTGTTGTTGTTTGTGTGTGTTCATATAGATATGTTATGTACAGTAAAGCTCAAAAGTTTGGACACAGCTACTCCTTCTTTATTCTTAAGTGTGGAAAGTCATTAAAGCGTTTTATTAAACAACTTTCTGGAATGCTCAATTTTCATTGATTAGTTACAACCAGTCATTTTTCCCATCATTCATGGCAACTCTGTTTATCAGTCCACTCTCTTTTCATAGAAACACAACGATCACCATCTTGCATCTAAGATATCAATTGTAGTAAAATAAAGTGAAATAAATTGTGAAATATTTTTACAATTCTAAATGACTGTTTTCTATTGGAAAAGATCTTGTAATTTATTCCTGTGATGGCAAAGCTGAAGTTTGAGCAGCAGTAACTCCAGTCTTCAGTGTCATATGATCCTTCAGAAATCATTCTAATATGCTAAAAAATCCTGATTTAAGCATGTCCAAACTTTTGACTGGTTCTGTAATATAGTTTGATGTTTTGAAATAACGATAACATCATGTTTTTGCATAAGTCAAAACATGAAAATCCCCTGTGATGAACATTTGCAGTGGAATGCAGGGGGTGGAAAACTTTGCTTTTATTCTTTCACTTTTATTTAAAAGATATGTGTATGCTCTTATTTTTCATTGTAGTTGTGGTGTTAATAGGGTCTTGAAATTATAGAGGGTTCAGGATCCTGTACTGCTTATGTGTCTGATTACATTAGACTGTCTCTTTCCATCTTAAGATCCCATGAAGTGAAACAGTACAACACTTTTAAAAAATTGTATTAATATTTTTTTTATGTTAGTTATTTACATTTACATGTGAAATTTTGTCGGTGTTTTGTAAAGAGAGGGTTTGTGTTATGTTGTCGTCACTGTTCTTCTCTTGTCGTTATGCTGCATGTTCCAGCTGTGGAGTGAGGAAGTGGATAAAGTGAGTACTGGGCAAAGATCCACTTCTTCTTTTGCTGCTGTATGAGCACATCTGAAAATGTAGACATGACTTTGTTCACTGTGTTCTCATGGAGCAATTAAATGACTGCATATTGATTTACGTAATAAATGTTTACATAATAACTAGGGGTGTGACGAGATCTCGTGCCATGAAATTTCTCATTGAGGTGTCTCCAAGTGAGCGTGAAACGAGCATAGTCGATGCCACCACTATGTTTACATTACATGCCTCCACTATCGTTTTGCTTTTTTATATAAAAAAAAAACACATTTAATTCAGTTGGAAAATGGTTGCTTCAATTCTAAACTGATCTGTATGTATTATCTTGCACAGTAGTATGCAGTGTCATCGCCAGGAATTCTGGGCCCTGTGCACTGAATTTGCTATGGGGCCCCCTCAAAATCATGTTCAGGGATGACGCAATCTCAAAATCACGTTGGGGGACAACTGAGGGACTCATACATATCTATTGCAAAAGGTTCAAAGGCTCACTGATGCTCTAGAAGGAAACAATGAATTAAGAACCAGGGGTGTAAACTGTTGAACAGAATAAAGATGTATACATTTTTTTTATTTTGCCTAAATATCATTATATTTAGTACTGCCCTTCAGAAGCTACAGAAGATACTTACATGTTTCCCAGAAGACAAAATAAATTACATTTACTCTGATCTTCAAATGAAAAAAGTTTTCACCTCCAGGCTCTTAATGCATCGTGTTTCCTCCTGGAGCATCAGTGAGCGTTCTAACCTTTTTGAAATAGTTATAAGTCCCTCAGTTGTCCTCAGTGTGAAAAGATGGATCTCAAAATCATACAGTCATTGTTGGAAAGGGTTCAGATCAGAAGAAAAATCCTTCAGGTCCCACATATTCTTTGGTTTTCCAGCATCTTTTGCGTAAAGATGCTGGAAAACCAAAGAATATGTGGGACCTGAAGGATTTTTCTGAAGAACAGCGGGCAGTTTAACGGTTCAGGACAAAAGGGAATCGTGAACAATTATCAGTAAAAAAAAAAAAAAAAGCTATGGATCATCCAGGTAACAATACAGTATTAAGAATCAAGCGTATGTAAACTTTTGAACAGGGTCATTTTTATAAATTCAATTATTAGTTTCTCTTGTGGACTATATGCAAACGTCTTTTATGTGAAATATCTTATTCAGGTCAGTACTAAAAAAAAATGTAAAATAACATGCATTTTGTATGATCCCTCTTATTTTGGTAAAATAATCAACATTTTACAGATACATTTTGACCACTACTGTAAATGTCTTTTTTTGCTAGTACTTAATTGACATGTCTAATTGAAATGTCTGAATCATGCTTGAAGAAAAATTTGATCTCTGTTTGCACTTTGAATACTAACACTTATTGTTTGCACTTAAATATGACTAAGAAAAAACCTTGTGGAACAATTTGTGGAAAGGAGTTAAGCTAGAAGGTCAGAAGTTCTAGAAGCTCATAATTCGTGTACAGTTCTAAGGTCTGAAGAGACTTGTACAGAGGAGAAGCCTGTCTGTTGAGTTTGTGGTAAAACCTTTTACAGTGCTTGGATATTGTTGTCTTTTACTGCATATGATCATTCTTACTCATCAAGAAGAACTGAAATGACATTCAATACAAGATGATTAGGTAAAACTTTTCAAAATGCACCTGCAGACTACTGTTCCAGTCATGTATTTCATAGAGGATTTCTTAAAAATACTGTGTAAAAATCCAATCGCATGCCTCCTCTCTTGAGCTAAGTGTCCTGTCACACGCCTAATAATAACATGTAATTCATGCTCCTACTGCTTATATTTCTATCTGTACACATCTGTAAATCAGACTTAACCTAACAAACAATACAGATTTCAGCAAGTCTTCAATTATTCTCACATTCTAATGACTACAATGTTGAAAATGTTGGATATGAATCTAACGTCATAATATCTGGCTGTCCAGACATATGGAAATATAAAACAGTAGGAAAAGAAAAATGTGTTCTGAAAAAAATCGTAAGAAAAGTTATGAAAAAAAAAAAAAAGTCAAGGCAACATGGTCATGATTTGTGTTAAGAGTAGATACCTTTAGCCAAGAGATGTTTTTGTTACAGCAGCTACAAAATCCAGCTATTTCTTTCAGTTTTTTTTGGTAAATAGTGCTTGGTTAGCAAGACATTTTGCTGTCATCATTTCAATTTTATTATAAATGTTATAATAAATGTTATTACAAATTTTAGAGCCTTTACTCTTATATTTCAAACCGCTCATTTACTATATAAACATTTCTGGTGTTTGTCAGTGACTAGTTATACTATAAATAATTTTGAACGGTTAGATGATGAGCTCATGCTGAGCCACAGGGTCATGTGACGTGTGGTTTGAGGTTAAGGAGTCTGGCCTGTGTTATGTGATTCATAATTCCTAAGACTTATAATGAAGATGCAATGATGACAAATCAAAAATATATTGTGTGGCTGAGAACTCTTTTCCTATAAAACATTTGACAAGAATGTATAGTTGAGCTATGTGGATAATGTGTCCTGTGTTTTTTTGTTTTGTTTGTGGCTCCACCAGGCAGAGCACGAGTTGCGTGTGGCTCAGACTGAGTTTGACAGACAGGCAGAGGTCACATGCCTCCTGCTGGAGGGCATCAGCAGCACACACGTGAGTGCCTGCGCTTCTCACAATCGCACTGCCTTCATTTTGGACATTACGCAAACAAAATGAGTTGCAGTGCCACCGTTCAAAAGTTTAGGGTCTGTGTGTTTTTTATTTTTTTGAAAGAAATTAATGCTTAATTAATACTGCTTGTTATTCAGCAAAGACACATTAAATTGATCAAAAGTGAAAGAATCCTGAAACGTATCACAGCTTCCACAGAAATATTGAGCAGTTTTCAACATTGCTAATAATGAAAATGTTTCTTGAGCAGGAACATACTACACTGACTGAAGACTGAAGCAGTGGCTGCTGAAAATGTAGCTTTGCCATCACATGAATAAACTGCATTTTAAAATATATTGTAAAAAGGAAAACAAAATATCGTAATATTTTTTTGGTGATTTATTGTCTGTTTTTTATTTGAAAAATTGTGACCCCAGTCTTTTGAACAGTACTGTAGACTAGTATATCTCTTTCCAAGTAAGGAAAGAGACTTTTAAAATTGTGCAACTCCATCACAGGTGAACCACTTGCGCTGTCTGCATGAGTTTGTGGAGGCCCAGGCTGCTTATAACGCACAGTGTCACAAGCACATGCAGGATCTTCAGAAAGAGCTGAGCAGGTGAGAACTTCAGTGAGGTGCTGCAAACTTCAAAATAAACATAAACAGCTATTTGTTCTTCTGTCCTAAAGCGATTGTAGTCAATTGTGGACAAGACCACAGGAACCAGATGAGTCCTCTGCTCAATGTGACATTGCTGCAGCCTGGAATTGAACTGCTGGTTTCGTCTGGTCAGAGGAGAACTGGCCCCCCGACTGAGCCTGGTTTCTCCCAAGGTTTTTTCTCCATTCTGTCACCGATGGAGTTTTGGTTCCTTGCCGCTGTCGCCTCTGGCTTGCTTAGTTGGGGACACTTCATTTCCAGCGATACCGTTGACTTGATTGCAAAGATACTATTTAAACTGAACTGAGCTGGATGATGACATCACTGAATTGAATGATGAACTGTCTTTAACTGAAAAATGAGTGTTTACTATTGTCATTTTGCATTATTGACACACTATTTTCCTAATTAATGCTGTTCAGTTGCTTTGACACAATCTGTATTGTTAAAAGCACTATATAAATAAAGGTGACTTGACTTGACTAGTCAAATAAGACCATGTTTTACAGGAGTTGCAAGACAGTTTGGTAACATTAGTCTATTTTTATTATAGAGATGTGCTAAAACAAGTTGTGAGTAACACATTCCCCTTTATGGCAACTGCTTTTCTAGAAAAGACTTCTTGAGATCATCTTTGAGCTGATGATTTATTTTCTGCTTTTTCTTTCCTGTTCTCAGTGCAAACGGAGATGCGTAAGTAACTTTTTCCATCACACTGAAAAAGGAAGAAAGTTTGCCCACTAAATTTAAACGATTAAATTCATGTGACCAAGGGATTTTAAGTCTTTCGCCTTTTATATCATATCTGTGTCATGTGTGAGCAACAGCTAGATATTTATATCTATTCGCAATCGCATACACTATGGTTTTGAATCTGTCAATCTGTTCCAGGTTTCCTAATGCTTTTGCTGTGAACGCCTCCACGTCAGGGGTGTCAGCAGGCCCTTCTCCCCTTTCCACTGCCACCCTACCTGGGGCTTCTCTACCTAGTCGTCCCCCAAACCCCTCCAATGCCCTTGAGTCCAGCACGCTGAAGATTGAGGAGGTGAAGCCTGCAGCCACTGGTACTCGCAAGGCCAAAGTGCTGTATGACTATGATGCTGCAGATACAAGTGAACTTTCCCTTCTCGCTGATGAGGTAGGACATGAGGAAGTCTGTTTTCCCTCTTTACAGTCAGTAACCAATGTTGGGGAAGCTACTCTGAAACTGTAGCTTGATAAGCCACAAGCTACTCATAAGTTAAAGTAGTCAAGCTATCCTTCTGAAAAGTAGCTAGCTACATTGAAACGACTTTTTTTCCACAACAATGTATATTACAGATAACTGAATAAGCGTTCATGAAGAATGTTTTAAGTAAAAAAAAAAAAGATATTTAAAACAACAATGCTATACAATTATGATGTCAAAGACTATTGTTTTAGTAACTTAAATTAAGCACACAGAAGCATTTTCTCAAAAATACTGTGATAGATGGCTGCATTATGGCAAGAAATAGTACTGAAGTCTGACACAGTATTGGCTCTGACAGGGAAAGCACTAACAGGTGTTATTTGGGGAAAATAATCTAATTGTGATTTTTTCTGGTTAAACTCGCATTTTGTGATTTAAAAATTGATTAAAATTGTTTTTTCACAAAAAACAATATAATAATGTATATTATAATGTATATGTAATATATAATAATAAGATAACAATACTAATTTTATTTTACAGAAAACTATTGTTTTACAAAAAACTGCAGGATTACTATAGTTAACATACAGGCAGCCTATAACTGTACATCATATTATACTTTTATGATAAAAATCTTTGACAGTAATTCTTAATTTTTATCAGGAAGTATGTCAAATCAAAAACGGAGTCCATATCTTTAATATGAAATAGGCTTTCGGCCTTTTATACATCCACTGTGGGGGGTGGAGAAGTGTACTCCAATACACTTCTATTCACTGAAGAAAAACATGGATTATCATATGTTTACTTCAAATTTCTTTAGAGAGAAGTATTATTTGTCCTATTTATGCCCAAAATAGGACTGAGTGCGCATTACTGAGCCCTAAAGAATATAGGGCCAGATTTACTAAACAGGGTCAATGGGAGTGGAAATTCCTGCGGGTGATTTACTGACAACGCACAAGTTAAAGAACACCTAAAGAATGCATCTTTAGTAAAAGAACGTGTCTTTAGTAAATCCTGACAGTACTATATTAACGCCAAAAGGCGGTTTGCACTGGCGTAAGCTGTAAGTAAATATGGCCCGTATGAATGTCTGTTTTATTCATACTGGCAGCCGGAGGGCGCCCTCGATCACGCAGAAACTCCACATATGCAACACAGAAGTAATAGAACTCCTGACACTCCAGGAAAAATTCCTAATATGGACAAAGGCATTGTTTTCGCTGTAGCTGAATAAAAAGAAGATAGAAACGCTTGAACTGATTAAACATAAGGACACTAAACCCATGAGTGCGACAATATATGGTTTATCTGTGTTCTTCAAGCCATCTTGGGTTTTTCATAATAATAAAGTCAATTTATAATCCATTGCTAATTGGCATAGCCTTTATTACAGTATAGATTATATTTTCTGCCTCATTCTGTGATAAGAAGCCACATCAGATCATAAAATGAAGTTATTTCAAACTCTTGACTGATGTTGGTTGTGGACTAAAATCATGTTATTAAATGTTCTCTTTTGTTGGACATCAGGTTTATAAATACTTCTCAGTAAGTTTGGGAAGATTTGGCACTTGACTCAAAATCAGCGCTTGCGGAGATGTGTAGCATTTACTACTGATGCTGCGTGATATACATAGTATACATAGGTGGCGGTAATGTGATCTTGTAACAAGACGCTGTGCTGCTTCAGTCTATTGCAGGTTCACAAAATAGAATGTGGCTAGTATCACGCTACACTGTTGTTTGCTGGAAAAAGTAGTTAGCTACTGGAAACACTACATTGTTTTAAAAGTAGCTGAGCTATTGTCAAGCTACTGAAAAATGTAGTTACGTTAGTAGTGTGGCTGTTTGTAGCTAGCTACTCCCCAACACTGTCAGTAACTTTCATTATATCAGTATTAGTGATTTTAGTAAGTTTAGTATGTACTGTAATGAAAATGTATTGTATTTATTAAAGGGGACATCGGATGCCCATTTTTCACAGGTTGGTGTGATTCTTTAGGGTCTTCGTGAAATGTCCCGTTTCGCTGAATGTCTCTTTAAATGATAATAAGCTACTGCTCACCGACCCCCTCTTCAGTTTTTGTGTATTTGGTGGCGCATTACCATCAAAAACAAAACTTGCAGCTCAAAACTTCTACTGCGTCCTCAGTGGCTCTGATGTCAGAAGAAAAAGAAGAATGTTTCACGCCACAAGCTTGAGCTTTGCGTCAGCTTCACGTCGTCACTGCAGCTGCAGACGCACGAGGGTATTCACACTGGAAGAGTTTGTACAGCGTCACAGCAGCGGCTGCTCACGCTTGTGCTGTGAAACCAGCCTTATGTTCACTTTTACATCCAAAACCATCAAACCACATGCATTGCTTACGAGACATGTAGCTACAGCTGCTCGAGTGTGGAAAAAATGACAGACAGCGTACAACTAGCTGAGGGTGGAAATATGCTGTCGTGGGCAGGGTCTGAGCAGTATGACGTCATAACTCAAAACAGCTTGATAATTGAGACTGTTTAGGTTTTTAAGGCGTGAATTTAATTTTTTTTGCTTCTGTCCACACAGTGCTAAGGCAAATTTATATGCAAACTACAAACTACAAAGTGAATTGTACATCCGATGTCCCCTTTAAGAACTATTTTATTGGGAAATGTTTACCTGTAGTGTAAACTATAGTTATTTAATTTGAACAAATTGTATTATATTAAAATGTATTGTTTTTATTATAACTATTTATAATGTAATTATTATAAAAATATAAATAACATATTTTATTTTTTAACCCTTCTCTTTTTTAATAAATGACTTTCTTTTGTAGTTCTCTGTATTGTTACTAAGTGCTTTTTTTGTTTCTTGCCTATCATGGTCAGTTTAAGCTAGTTTACTTACAGTCTCTGTGACATTGCCATTTGTTTAATGAAATGGGCTTGTAACCTAAAGGTTTTACGTTTGAACCCTGCCAGACAGTGTCATATGATTCAACCTCACAGACCCGTCTCGGATATGCAGGCCTATGAATCTTAATCCTCAAAAGACGTCAAAAGGGGTGACTGCAAATGTGTATTTCTTAATACACGTCTGTAAACCACTGTTTATACATGTCTGTTGTTACAGTATACTTGAATGAATTGAATGCGTCTGGAGGACTGTGCCCATTGCAACACAGTCAGCCCACATCAAAATGTCTACTTCATTTTTTTTCTTTCTCTCTTTCTGTTATTCTGTAGCTTATTACTGTGTACACGGTGCCCGGCATGGACCCGGACTGGCTTATTGGCGAGCAAGGCAACCAGAAAGGCAAAGTGCCTGTCACATACCTGGAGCTCCTGAGCTAGATGCCTCGTCCTCTTCACAAATACAGAGTCACACTGAATTATGCATGAACAAATACTCAAGCACTCCTGAACACTCAGTGAATTTATCCGGTTTCTTTCTTTTTTTTTGTTACTGTGCATAAATATGTATTATTGTTTTTTTAGGCCCTATTTATGTTCTATGTGTATGCTGTTTCAGTTGAACACTATCCTGCATAAGGCGTTTCTTTAAATAACTGATTTTATTTCCTTTATGATCCTGTGACTGCTATATTTTCCTTAAGTCTTTCTTACCCTCCAAGTGAAGAAAACAAACCGACAAGCTTTTGTGTTGGAGCTGGATCTGAGTGTGTGTGTGTGTGTGCACGTGTGTGATCATGAAGACACTAAACATTTAGGCTTTGCTTCTTTGCGTGTCGTCTAGCTCATCATGCTTGTATGCTTATACAGTCATGGTTTGATATCAGCACTTTTGATTCCAAATGCAGCATTTTTTGTCAGTGTGTTTTGTCAGTGATTGAGAAGATTGTGAAGGTATTAGGTGCGGTTATGATGTACATTATGTGGTTAACTGTGATCTGATCATATTCAAAAGACTGATTTTCTTTACCTCCAGTGGTACTTATTCACATATGCACAGTCATCACCTTCCCACTTTCATCTTTGTGTTTGCTTGTTGCAAAAAGCAATGCATATTAAATGAATGCAATTGAAATATATAATAAAGACAGATTTACTGGGTTTTGATCTTGATGTTGTCTTTCTAATGGGGCTTGTCGTCTAAAGTACTTAGCGGTGAGATGTTATCAATGACTGGCTTTTAATTCTGACTCTGGTAGGGTTTGCTGTTGGTGTTTGTTGTGATTTACTAATGCACTGAGGGTCATGCTGGTAACTTTACTCCACTACTGCACTGACAAGTTGGTTTTGGAAAACATTGCAGTGATTGTGCAAGATAAGTCAAGTTGTTTTTCTTTTTTCCTACCATCACTCAGAAGGAATTTTGGAATCTTCTCTACACAATTCCTAACATGATTTTTAGCATACAGCATTGCTATAAAAAAAGCTTTTGATGAGAATTGGAACTTTGTGTGCATAATTCCAATTGTACTTTAATCTGCTAAATCAAATAAAAATTTTTTGAATATATATATATATGTATATGTATATATATGTATATATGTGTATATAT